CAACCGTTAGATTGAAAGTTCATATCTCTTAGATCATATATATCAAATTTTATATTAATTTAAAATGATTTGATATTTCATTCTCATAAAACAAAATTGACGTAATATATACATTTCAAAATATACAAAAATATGAACACTTTGATTACCTTCAAGTTGTTGTTCAATTTTAACAAAATTTGACATATATGATCTAAGAGATATGAACTTTAAATCTAACGGTTAGATTTTCAAGATTCACTTTTAATATAAAGTTATTGAGCGATATAACACTTAGTAAAAGTTACACCGGTGCGTTTGAACCCTCCTCATATATATATATATATATATATATATATATATTGGTATGGGTATGGATCTATATATATCAACGCATTTTATATATTTGTTGGTTTCATTTGGAGGGGGAGCTAAGCTTAATATATAAGGACCGCGTTATGCCTGCTCAACATAACTGTAACACCTTTGCACAAAATATGCAAACATTATATTAATGAAAAAAATAAATATCAGGTGGAATCACTTGAAGATTTACATTAACGGTAGGTTGGAAATATGAAGGGAATCTCAAATCTGATATGTTTTCTTTTGAAGTGCTTTCCCTTTCTCCTTTTCTTCTTTTGATGTCAATAGTCAAGGTACGTACAGTCTCATACATGTATTTAAAGTATATACCTGTCAAGTTCTCTATGTCTAATAGCTAATATATATATATATATATATATATATTCACCATAAACGACATGATCTACACCACGACATGTGATTAATTAATTTATGCTTTCACAAGAGGAAAGGAATATGATTAATTAATTTTAGGTGCGGTCCGAGTGTGGTTCATTTTATGTATGTATAATTGCTGAAATAAGACTGGAATCTTGGCCACCTTTAAAAAGTCATTAGTGGTCGAACAATTTGATTAAGTGTTGTTTAAGCTATGATTTCACCATTCCTTTTTCTTAATTGAATGGGACCGAGATGGACTCAAAGTTAGATTTGAATAAATAAAATGCAAAGCAATCATGTTCTGTACTACTTTAATTTACCTTAGTAGGAGCGCCAAGAAGAAGGTGATAACTGGAAGACAGTTTGTAGTAGCAGCAGCCAAAGTTGCTGAGGTGTAAATAAGGCCAATACCATATATGTCCAAGCTTAAAGTAATCCTGAAATTTAGGACACAAGTTTAATTAATGAAGGGGGAAAACAAAAACTAAAGAAAATCTGCTACAACATATATATATCTCCATAGTTTGAATCATATAATTAATATATATCATGTGATCTTGTAAAGTATAAGCTACAAAGATCTTCAACTTTAAAGCATTATGTCAATTCAGTATTTGAACATACCCGAAGAAAGAAAGGAAGAAGATCTTGCAGAAGGTCCAAAAAGACATAGGTGGTGCAGTTTTCCTACAGCCAAAAATGGATTTGAGTTAAAAACCGACATTGTTGCCTCGGAAGAAAGAAATTGAATTGATATCAGTATGTTTCATTTCTACATACCACTCGAAGTAGAAAGTGAAAGGGGTCAAAAAGATGGTTGCTATTGCCTGTCTATAGAAGACAAAGATGAAGTTGTTCATGCCATGATCGAATGCAGCTTTTGATAGAAGAAACATAGCAGCGTATATGGCTTGTATGACAACAACGACGAAATAGGGATTGTTTCCTTTCATTTTTGGTTTGTGGCTTTGAGTTGCTAATTAAGTGATGAGAGATGTTTAAAAACAACACAAATATATATATATATATATATATGCACTCAGGGTCTGCTTTTTAAGCTTGATGAAAGGGATATTAACTCGTGTGTGGGGAAGATGATGATATGGTTCGGGACCACCTTAGCTTTCTTTATTAGTGTTGGAGACTTGAAGAAGGTAGCACTACCCTTCTTTGCAATTCCCATGCATTCATTCACACCTTCCTGTGGCTGCCTTTAGTTGCCCCAACAACAAATTATGGGGGACCTTCTTTGTTTTCAACGTGTGCCTTTTTCATTCTTTATAATAAAATAAACCGGTATGTTGTGTTTGTGTTGAGGATAAGGAAAAGATGAAGGTAAAAAATAGTGCTAGTATTATATTATTTCATTAAACCATATTCATATCCCTTATCTCTTCACTTCTTTTACGATAAAAGGAATGCGATGGAAAACATAAAAGAGAAGATATGTTTCTTTAAAGAGGAGGAATTCAATAATAACGTGTGTTATATTAAATTTTAATAATTTAATTATTAAATTGAAAATATGTAATATATAGATTAATTTTACAAATTTTAAAATTTTTTAAAAATTATTTAATATTTTATTTTATTAATTCAAATTGATTGATAATTATAAAAAACATTATATGTTGATTATAATTAATGAAATAGAACATCAAATAATTTGTAATTTTTAAATAATCATTATAATTTAGTCTTTAAATTAAGTACTAGACTTATCTCTCCTAAATAGTCTTTTAAAAAATAAGTTATATGTTTAACTCAATTAATTTTACAAAATTAATTTATAAAATAAAGTTTGTTTCTCATTTATATACATTATTTTAGTAATATCAATGAGATTTCTATACACCTCCTTATGTCGATGATATATTATACATTTTGAATGTGAAATTTGTAGGACTAAACATCCGCATGTGCTTTGATAGTAGTCCAATAGTAAGTGACCTAATGATAAGCTCAACAATACTTGTTATAAAGCTTATGATCACTACAAAAAAAAAAAAAAGGATTTAACAAGGTTAATCTTTAATTTAACTAGAATTATAGTCATAATTAAATGCATTTTTGGGGATTACATATACCTCTAACAAACTATTTGTCGATAATGTGTTAGCGACAATTTTCAACAACTCTTAAAGAATTCAAAATTTACAAGTAATTTAAAAATTCTAGTTAAGTTATCACAATTTTTAACTCATGATAAATAACAAGGACCAGGTTATGTAACTCCTATTAAGTAACCAGGGTTGATAGCCTCTAACAGATAATAAGAATTATGTAATCTCATTAAATAATAAGAGCTTATAATTAACCTCTAACAATCCAAACACATACCATAATACCTACCTTTTATGTAATCTCATTAAATAATAAAAGCTTATAATTAACCTCTAACAATCCAAACACATACCATAATACCTACCTGCGACGCAAACCTAAGATATGTATTAGTAATATAACTCTCTTAATATAAAAAATGTTTTTATAGGTTGTTTAACCTTTGATAATTACCTAGGGTTATCTAACACCCATTAGTACACTTTTAATTTTTTATTTTTAAATCATTTCTTATACATGTGAATATAATATTTCAATAGGTATTATTTACATATTTTATTATTTTTATTATGTGCATTCATAATATTTTTGTACAATTAGCTTCTTTTTTTAAAAAAATAAAGTTAGTAAAAGAAATCAAATAACACAAACTTACAAAAAGTATTTTAGGACTCTTGTGAAATCACTTTTCTGAAAATAGAAATCTAAAATATTTTTTTAACATAAACTAACATTAAGTTCTATCAATTTTTTGAAAATTAAAAACAAATTGACTACAAACTAATATGATCCTCAACTATCACCTATGTTCCTCTTCTCTTCATATTGAGAATTTATTTCATTAGTTGATACATTTCCTTGATAAAAACTTAGAATATAAAATTAAATCATAATTTTAAACATGAAAATTATATCATGAAATATTTAAAAAATTATTTTACTTTTAATAATTGTTTGGAAAACATGAAATACAGTCAAGTCAGGAGACAATTAATTAATCTTGACAGTTAAAAAAATTAATTTACACCGAAGCAACCTACAAACAATTACAAAATTACAACAAAGTGAAGATATAGCAATTACTTTCGGCAAAGTTTAAAAATTACAAAAAAAAAGCAACTTACAATTACAAATTTACAATTTACAAGTCCCAACAAACTGAATAGAGCAATTAATTTAAGGATTTAGAGTTTTAAATTAGGATTAACCTAATCAGAGTTGCGAAACCCCACACACAAATTCAGAAAGTGAAAGACATGTAATGTAACAGACTGCAGAAGGTTGTGCAAAATGCCTTGCAGCTTGCGTGACGAGAACAAGTGTGGAAGGGCGAAAGTGCAATAAGGTAAAAGTCGAGGGGGCTTAGCAATTTAAAAGGGGTTATAAAGAGTGTGCAGTGAAGAGAGCAAAAGCAGAACGAGAAAGAGTGGACAATGGAGCACATAAATCGCATTCAATTATTTCGGCTTCTGATATAAATCTCATAGAACTTAACGAAAGTTAATAAAATTCTTGATAATTACACACATTTCTAAAGGTTATGATAATTACAATTAAATAACTTCATAAAAATTTGTCTTATAATGAATATTTTAATATTATCTTAAAAATAAATGTACGTTTGATCCTAACTTAATTTTATAAATTTGATTTAAAAGATAATGATTATTTTTTATTTATATATATTATTTTTTACAAAAAGTATTTTAGGACTCTTGTGAAATCACTTTTCTGAAAATAGAAATCTAAAATATTTTTTTAACATAAACTAACATTAAGTTCTATCAATTTTTTGAAAATTAAAAACAAATTGACTACAAACTAATATGATCCTCAACTATCACCTATGTTCCTCTTCTCTTCATATTGAGAATTTATTTCATTAGTTGATACATTTCCTTGATAAAAACTTAGAATATAAAATTAAATCATAATTTTAAACATGAAAATTATATCATGAAATATTTAAAAAATTATTTTACTTTTAATAATTGTTTGGAAAACATGAAATACAGTCAAGTCAGGAGACAATTAATTAATCTTGACAGTTAAAAAAATTAATTTACACCGAAGCAACCTACAAACAATTACAAAATTACAACAAAGTGAAGATATAGCAATTACTTTCGGCAAAGTTTAAAAATTACAAAAAAAAAGCAACTTACAATTACAAATTTACAATTTACAAGTCCCAACAAACTGAATAGAGCAATTAATTTAAGGATTTAGAGTTTTAAATTAGGATTAACCTAATCAGAGTTGCGAAACCCCACACACAAATTCAGAAAGTGAAAGACATGTAATGTAACAGACTGCAGAAGGTTGTGCAAAATGCCTTGCAGCTTGCGTGACGAGAACAAGTGTGGAAGGGCGAAAGTGCAATAAGGTAAAAGTCGAGGGGGCTTAGCAATTTAAAAGGGGTTATAAAGAGTGTGCAGTGAAGAGAGCAAAAGCAGAACGAGAAAGAGTGGACAATGGAGCACATAAATCGCATTCAATTATTTCGGCTTCTGATATAAATCTCATAGAACTTAACGAAAGTTAATAAAATTCTTGATAATTACACACATTTCTAAAGGTTATGATAATTACAATTAAATAACTTCATAAAAATTTGTCTTATAATGAATATTTTAATATTATCTTAAAAATAAATGTACGTTTGATCCTAACTTAATTTTATAAATTTGATTTAAAAGATAATGATTATTTTTTATTTATATATATTATTTTTTATAACATTAATATAATGGATCAGATTTCTAAAAAAAATCTTAAAGTAATAAAATTATATAATTAGTCTTAAAATATTAAAAATAATGTTGTATATATCCACACACATACATATATATATATATATATATATATATTCTTTAAAATATTGAAAATCATTCGTATTATATAGTCTCTCAATATTAATAAAATATATCATACTAGAAACTAAATTAGTAAAATTTTAATATTTTATAGAATATTATTCATATAATTTTATCATTTTAAGCACTATATATAGAAGAATGAGAATAATACTTTAAAGATCAAATTAATTATTTACTCATTTGTAAAATCATTCCTGAGAAAGCAAAAAAGGAATGTAATACTCTCGTGTCTTATAGAAGTTTTAAAATAATATTTTTTGAGTATTGTTGAATATTCTTTATACGAGTAAAACCGACACGTTTTATTTGATCTTTGTTCTATGATAAAGGATGTATAAAAAATTGTTTTTATGAGAATGAGAAAAGTTAATTTTTCTATAATTTAATTGAAATAGAATGATAATACAAAAATATTTGTTACTCTGTTATTAATTATAAATAGTCATATAACTAAAAATTATTAAGTTTCATATATTCTATATACAAGTCTTCGCTAGGGTCATTGTCTCGGAAAAAAAATTTCCCACTCGTCCTACAGTACTGAAAATGATGCGTAAAAATCAGTCTGGTTGTAGTGTATGGGATACGTAAGAAGCTTTGGTAGAAAAGTCGAATCAAAACAAATGATTAATATAAAAATATTATTAATTATTTCCACTAATATTTTTATTTAATAATATCCCACATGAATATTTAAATAAATTCATAATTGTAAGACCGCAAGTTCTTCTCCCTTCTTCCTCTCAACACTCTCATTTTCTCCTCACTTCATATTCTTTGGTTCCAAATTCTTAAGCTTCCTTGTGGTGATTGTTGTGATTAAAGGTACTGAGTAGAGGCGTGAGGAGCTAGTTAGAAGCTCGACCCTTCTTCTTTTCTTCCTTTTCCCAAAACTCGGATTCTACTTCTCTAAGGTAAGGGAAGCTAGATTGTGAACTCGTTGGTTGTGGGTGAGTTTAAGAACTCATTTGGAGAAAAAAAAATTTGTTGAGGATCATTGACTTATTTGAAGAATTTCTCATTTTTGAGGTTTCGGGAAAATTGGGAAATATGGTGATTTTTATGC